GGATACTACAAAAGTTTACTAACCTGCCAAGCACTTTGATAGGAATTTCATCATCTGAAGTGGTAACAAGTTGTGTATGTTCAAATAACACTTCAAATTTAGGTAGCACTGTCATTAAAAAAAAAAGTGAGATAAGAGCAAATTTGTACCACAATATCTGAGAGATTGAAAAGGCTTAAAAACTGTGGGCTACATAGAAGGGTTGGCAGGTGAGCCATATTAAATTGTCTGTGGTGTTGTTATACTAAATGCAGCTACTTCTCCATCCCCAGTTTGGGTGGTGGCTTTACAAAAGGGGGCAGGAATTCACCTGTGCCTGTATCAGTTTCCCAGTCCAAAATTCACTGCACTGCACTTCAAGCTGCTATTGCCTCTGTGCTTCCTGATATAGTTTCAGTTAACAACCACTCATTCAAAGACCATGCAAAGTTGTGATGGTGCTGAACAAGTGGTACGACTGGTTCTTGAAGTTCCAGCCGTTGCAGCACCCCTGCGGTTCCCTAATCACAATTTGGGCTCTTGGCAACCAGCTCACACTTATGATGGTTGCAGTGTCCCATGGTCACATGATTGCCATTTGTGACCTTCCCTGCTGGCTTCCCACAAGCAAAGTCAATGGGGAAGTTGGCAAGAAAGGTCACAAGTTGCTCCCATAAGTTGCTCCTGTCACTTTTTCTCATGAGGAGCCCAGAGTTCTCGTACACCGTAGTACATGCTTGCCTGCAGCACCCCCTGCCTGCACTCTGTAGCACATGCATGTATGCCTGGCCACACTTGTGCAGCGCTGCAGTACTCCCTCCCCCACCCAGCTGCACTTGCGTGGTGCTGCAGCACTCCCTCCCCTGCCTGCCTGCACTTTTGCGGCGCTGCAGCACCCTCCCCCACCTGGCCACACTTCATAGCACTCACCCACCTGCTGGCCTGCTTGTGAGCTACCTTGGACTTGCGACTTCCCCATTGACTTTGCTTGTTGGAAGCCAGCAGGAAGTTGCAAGTTGCAGTCATGTGAGGTCCTTGCTTAATGAGCATGATCCTCACTTAACAATGGCAATGGGGACTGCTGTGATTGCTATCGCTAAGTGATGCGGTCACATGACATCACGCTTTACAACCACATCGCTTAGTGACCGAAATTCTGGTCCCAATTACTGTTGTTAAGCAAGAACTACCTGTAAATGCATGGCACTCTGCAGAACCAAATGGGAAGGTAGATAGGAATTATATTGGGAGAAGTTGCACAGTGCAGAGAGAAGGTTAATCTACTTCTACTATATCACAGCCCAAACCAGGTTGTCAATTAGTGACTACAAATCTCCCATTCTCTGATTTTGAAAGACGTGTGTTTAGTTAAGTCACAACCATATCAAGCTGTATCAGTATAAGTAACATGTTACTAGATGCAGAAAGAACTTTTCAGCTCCCTAGTTTTAATTTTAACCAGTATTATTTAAAAATTACTTATTTAATGTCATATTAGGGCTGTCTTAGTAATATTGGCTGCACCCATATAGTTTTCTGGGATTTTTCTTCCATGACTGATATACTATGCCCACAGCTCAGTTCTTCTTCCTAACTACTTCTGGCTGTTTATTTATGTGAGAAATTTGTAACCTGCCCACTCAGAGAGTGAATTATGATAGCAAGAATAAACCCTGTATAATAAACAAGACCCAAATCCAACCAATCAGACTATCTCTTTTGGATTGTTCCAGAAAAATTGGTACACAAAGGAGGCACTAATTTAATTGCTATACCGTAAATATCACAATGCCCATCAAAGGACAATCTACAGTTATTTGGATTGTTTTTCCCTTACTTAATAAATGTTCTGTGGAAAGAAAAACATGGAAGAAGGAATCAGAAGATCTGGAAGACGTACCAGTTGCTGACATTGTTACCTGGATGCCTATTCTCCCATTCATTAAACTTATTCTCCCATTCATTAAATATGATAGCAGTCCTTTGATACATGAAGGGGTGTAACAGGGGAGAGGGAATAGATTTATTGTCCCTAGCACCTGAGGGTAAGAACAACCAGTGGGTGGAAACTTTACAGTGAGAGATCCAAACTCACTGGGGAAATTTCCTGATTGTGAGAGCTATTAAGCAATGGAACAGCCTGCCTCCTGGAGTCATGGGTGCTCCATCACTGGACGTTTTCAGACGAAGATTGGGCAGCATTTGTCCTGGATGGTCTGAGGATTCCTGCACTGGGCAGTGGGTTGGACTAGAAAAACCTCCAAGGTCCCTTCCAACCCTCTGATTGTATGATTCTATGAAACTCTGGGAATACAATTAAAGCAACTGCATAACAAAAGCTTTACTTAGGAGCCCTAGAATTAACCTTTTCCAGGTAGGCTCCATTCCCTGACCTACACACACACTGCATATATGAGACAGATGTTCCACTGAACACGTTTAGCCAGGAAGGCAGACAGTCCCACTGTACATTCCTTACCCCCATCTGGAACATCTGAAGATAGCTACACTGAGTATTTTATGGGTAGGCTAAGTTGATTTGAGATTTTCTTAATTCCACCTCTCTCTTTTTTATCTTACCATATTCCTCCACAGTGAATTTTTTTTCGTTTCTATTCTCCTCCTTTCCTATCTTAATGATGTATGTACCCAGGGCTGCTTCAGGGGCCAGAGGGAAAGACAGATCCACAATGCCATGAACAGGCTTCACATCCACCCACTGGGCAATTCGGTTCTTGTCAGGATCCTGCACACAGGAAGATTGAGGGAAGAATAGTCATGTACCCTTGCTTGACTGCAGTCACCATCAGAGAATCAGATGTATGAAGTTTGTAGTGTTATATATGAGGCAGTGTGATGAAGAAGACAGTTTGGACACGAATCTCAGGAGAGTGTTACCTGTTAGGAAAGAACCATTGGGCTCTTCCATGTTATAATGGCTACTTTTTCTGAGACCAAAAGACAGGCCTAGTGGAAATATTTTATAATTTATTTAATAAATTATAAATATTCCAGTAGACAGGCCTATGTCTAGTGGAAATATTTTATAAATGAGACCAAAATAACACTATATTTGGATTTAGAGACTAGACAACAAACAAGGAATAAGTAAAATCTCTGAGCAGGCCCATTCACACATAGAAGAACTGGGGACAAACCAAGACAGGTGACAGGACTTTTTCTAATTCCCTACAGCAGACTTTCAAGAATATTACTGGATACCAAGTGGGTCTGAGGACCAAATCAGAGAAGCCTTAGAACCATAAAAGATGAAGTAGATACATTTAACTCTGTTTCTTCTTGACATGGTTCTGAAAAAAATTATCCTTCTCAAAGTCCACTAAGACTTCCCTTGAAAAGGAAATGCAAATCTTTTGGAGAGCATTTGGGTCATGATTGTGGTAGGAAGAAAGAGATAAACACTCTTGTTCCACACTCCATAATTCTGAGATTGCTCAGACATCCTTTCTGCTACCTAAATAAATTAAACATATCCCTTATAGGCTAATTGCCCACTTCACTTCATGTCTACTTTGGCCAAGTACAAGTTGGATCTGAAAAGACAGTTGCTGTTCTTAGTACGGAGCAGCAGATCATTAGGAGAATGCAAATGACCTTTTTATTTCATTTGTCAGATGTCCATACAACCATTTGTGAAGGGGGTCACTGCTATGGGTCATTTATTGAGTACAATTATGTCTAGTGGAAATATTTTATAAATGAAAATATTCCTAAATATGTTTTACATTATATAAACACATCTGTCTTTTAATTTAGGCCAAATGCAAACCCATTTCACAGAAATGGCTCATAGAAGGAACTCTTGAGATTAAAAATATCCTTATTAATTTTTTCTAGCATATCCCCAGTACTAGTTTCTAGAATTACAATCGCTATCACATTTTTTAAAAATGTACAGAGTTACTGATGTCCTGTGAGATTTCTCAGCAGCATCCTGTGCTTTAGGTGGGCTTCCTGAAAGAAGTGCTGCATAACCTGGAGGTTCTTCTGGACTTAAGACTGCTGATGGATCAGCAGTGGAGGTTCTGCCAGGATAGCCTTTGGGCAGCTGGCAGAAGATGTGGAAATCAGCCCTGAGTTAACTTTTTGCTTAGACTGCTATAATTTTATGTGAAACTACCCTTGAACATAACTTACAAGCTGCAAAGGGCACAGAATGCGGCTGCATACTGGTGCTAAATAGTGCTGTGGCTATATTTCTTATGGGAGCTATACTGGTTGCCAGTATGCTTCAAGACTCAGTTCAAGATGCCACGGTAACCTACTGTATAAAGCCCTCAATGGTTTAAGCCCTTATAACTTTCAGAACTGCCTTCTTCAAGTAGAATGAACTTCTACGTGGCCCAGCAGGGAGATGATACTCTAGATACCTCCACTATGAGAATACACAGGGCTGGGACCCAGAGGATGATACTCTCAGTGCTGTCCCACTCAATCTGGAATAGTTTATTCCCTGAGGTCAGGTGCGCATGGCCCTTTTGTCCTTTAAGAAACTGGTGACGGCAGTCCTCTTGCATATTGGAAAGGAAGCTGTTAATTAGGACAGCGGCAGATATTGTTTTTACAGATGTTCTTGTGTATATTTTGTATACTACTTAGACATGTATGAGTAGGTAGCTCACAGATGTTTGAAACAAGCAAACTAGCAAACAATAAACAAATGGTCTTGAATGATGGAGGTAAATATCAACCTGACCAGATACTCACCTCTAACTTTATCAAAGGGATCTGCAAATGATGAAAGAGAAAGAAATCAGCGTCATGAGGAACAGGACTGTCTCCATTCCTCCCTGCCCTAAGTAGTCTGCAAATGCACCGCTCTGTCCTGCAGCTGTTGCCACCCCCACCTTTGAACTTAGCAGAGGCAAAGGCTGATAATTGTAGAATAGTAGTTCTGAAAGTGGGATGGGGGAATTATATTACTATTGCTAGAGTGATAAGAAGATGAAGAGACTGTTGCCCACTGATTCTCTTTCACACTTTGGGTCTTATCTGGGACAACTCAATAAAAAACTTGTCATTCTTTCCATCTTCTACAGTGACAGGAGGGTTCAAATCAAGTTGTGAAATTCTGTATTCCATCTCTTGAGCCAGGGGTTTCCAGGACCAGAAACTGGAAAGCGCACCTCTGATTTATATCCAGAATGGAGAATTCCATAACCTTTTGGTTTTCCAGTCATAGTGTCATAATGATGAGAAAATTGTCCATCGTAGGATATAGGATCAGAAACCTCTTAAGTTATTTGCTAAGCAAATTGATGAACCCTGAGCCACAATAATCCGGTTTATAATGTCTGTTGTCTACTTTCCTGACATTTCCTCACAGCCTCTTCTGTCTTTGGGGCCCAGTTTTTCTGTACTTCCTCTTCTTTGACAATGGTTTTCATCATCAACTATTTTCCCAGGATGTTGTGATTCAGTCTTTACAGCCTCTACTTCCTATTGATCATTTCCTTGGCCCTCATTTTGAATGGCCAACATTTCAATCATCCTTTGTAGCTTCCTCTTGAACAGCAACTTAGAGTTAGGAGATGATAAAGGGGACCATTTACTCAAGATCCTTCCTCCATGGGTTTGATCCACATGACCCATTTGACCCAGAGAGGGTTCAGGCCGCTGACCATTTTTTGAGGGTAGGAATTAAAAACATCTTTCTCTTCCCACTCTCATTGGGAAGGCAACCTCTGCTCATTCTTTTCTGCTACACATCAGAAGTAGGGTTTTCTGCATCTCGGACGAATGTTAGACCCAACAACAAACTAAAGTGCTCTGCCCCCTTTGACTCATTGGCCTTCCTCCTCTTTTACTTCAGCCACCTGCATGTACACAGTCACTTTCTTTTATCAGCTCTTCCCCTAATATTTCTAAATTCCCTGACTTGTTTCTCCCTTGCAGATTCCTTCCTTCCTTCCTTCCTCCCTCGACTTCCTATTTCTCAACCCAGTGCTTACTGACCCTCCTTAAAAAAAAAAAAAGAAGACCTGTATTTAGGCTTCTTCCACTGCAGTGCTTTGTTCTTGTTTCTCATGAGCCCTACTTTGTGAGGGATCTTTTTCTTAAATTGACTAAGCTGGGTAAGCAAAGATTTCTTAGTTGGCCTTGCAAGCAGTTGGCATATATGAACGATTCCAACAGACACCAGCCCAGCTTAAGCAATAGAGCCAGCAGCATCTTCGCCAGCCCAGGAATCTTCAAGCCATGGGGCTTTCATTCTTTTCCTCCTCTAATGGATTTTTTAAAGTATGAAAAAGGATGGAAGAAGTGGCTTAAAAATACAGGAGGGATACACAAATTGGAGATGACATCACATCTGCTTTTAAATGACTGTGCTTGAGAAAGAATGCTTGCACAAAAACAATGATTCTTAGAAACTGTACAGCCAATTTAAAATGAAATGGAAGTATGAAAAAACTAAATATGTTTTTGTTCTACTACATATTTCTACATGGTCAACTTCCATATTTAAAAAAAAAAACAATGTGCACAGTAAGGAGACCTTCCAAGTCTGACTGTTGATATTTGCTGGGGATGAATTCATATTTTGGTTAAAAAAGGAAAGTAATACTCACAGCATCTTCAATGGCTTTAAATTTTTCATCAAGCCTCACAATGCGAAACTTTACTGAAAAACACATATTTATTTATTGCTTTTCTGATTCCCATTGCTTCCTCCCCCATTGCTCTGCCTTTTCCCACAGATTTCCTCACTTTGTCTTTTAAAGGTAGGCTACCACATCTGGGCTGTAAAACTCTGGACAACCTCCTGCATTTTGCAAATAGTCGTATTATCGCTCATGTTGTATTTTAAAACTAAAATTGGAGTATTGTATCTTGTTTGATTGGTCAAACAATTCTTCCATGTGTTGGACCTCATTATTTCCCAGAAATGGGGTCAACCATTCTTTCTGCATGCTAGATATTCTGTAGGCTGGTATCTTCATCATATATGTCACAAATTTAGGAAAGCAGTTGTTTTATTGGAATTGCTTAAGAAGGTTGCTGAGGAACTAGCTTCCCCCAAAGTTGGGTGAAGAACAAATGAATATATTTCAAAATAAATCATTAATTATTTGGACATGCAAATAAATACAAATAGAGGTCTGAATTATAGATACAAAAGCATTCACAATGAATTTTGAATAACAGACTTTAAAGTGATTAAGTTAGATAAAGATGTTGAAACAGAATACATGATGCAAAATGAAAGTAAGTGTGAAAATGAAAAACATGAGGGTGAACATCTGTAGAAATTATATAATTGTGTGAATGTGTTCATTTAATAGATAAAAGCATAAACACTGAATTTTGGGGTGCTAGATGCCTAGGTTCAAATTATATGTACGTGTTGTTAAAATGTTAATAAATCAAGTCACTTTACATACAGAATGAATATATGGGATTGAGCTGTAGTGAAAATGTTAGAATTTAAAACAATATTTGTTTTAATATAGCATGTTAATGAAGAGTACATTTTAGAATACTGAATTTGTGGAATTGTTCAAGATTGTTGAAGAAAGCTTTGAAGCTTATATTGTAGATATATTACTCACTATATTTAGTAAAACAAAAAAGGACTTATATTTATGGTTTTTGGCACTCCAATATGATATCCTTGCATCTTCTGGATATTCACAATTCCCCTTCTTGTATTCCCAAGCTCAAGCACTGGAGATGTTTAAGAGTACTTATACTACCCTTAACATTGAACTTATATTTTTCTTGGGGGGAGGGTTAAGTAGTGAATGGTGCAGGGGGCACCAATTTTGGCCTTTAAAATTTTGTCCCACATTCAATTTTATCTCACAAAAATTGGGTGCAGAAATTTTCACTCTGCCCACTCTAGTAATATCACATAATCACTGGCCATTCCCAGTTTGGCTCTAAGGCAAGATGGAAAGCCAAAAAATATCCATATCTGATCTAATTTTGCTTTTATTCAAAAGTTTACCTCTTGAAATGCTTGATTTGATTTTCCAGTAATACTGTGAGTCATTCAGCTAATTAATTTATACTATGTTTGTAATTGGTGGGGGCAGGGAATATTCTTTTTAGATAATTGTGTTAATCCACTTGTGAAGTAGGCCAGTCCTGCTACATTAAAGGAGCCTCTTCATTCAGCTGAAAAGGACTCTGTACTTCAAAGTCAAAACCTCTCCACATGGCACTTCTAAATATTATGTGGTACATAATAAAGAATTCAAAAGGTGGGATAGTAGGTGAAGCCCGCCCTCCCCATATCTGCTTATGCTTACCTTCTTCTCCAGATTTGTAAAAGGGTTTGTCTAATTCCATCAGGGTCCTTGTATGAGCATTCTTGACTAGAACTTTATTTTGGCCTTTGAATATTACACTTTTGTCATGTTGGATGAGGACGTGAACATGGGCCACCTCTTCTTCCTTCATAGCATGTAGAATAAAAATTGAACCAGTTTTGGTAAAAGAACTGAGAACAAAGCAGTATTTGCAGGTGGGCTTCACTCTGCTAAACCCTCCCCTCTTCTCCAGGAACCGGGTCATTCTGACAATACTCTCTATCAATTATCCCTCCTTACACACACATCTACACATCATCAGCTTCTCCTCAAATCCATACTGGTGTCCCCATTTATCCTTTTTCTTTCATCTGTTTTCTTTCTTAATGCTGCTCTCTTCATCTTCCTTCAAGACTTTTGAAAAAAAAATTTCTTTGTTCACCCCCTTATACCTCTCCTTAGTTCTTCCAGTGTCAGGTATCTCAGAGTCAGGGAATGGTTAGGAGAAGATAGACTTACGTAGTCAAAGCCGAAATCCGTGTTCCTGGGAACAAACTTTGGGACCTAGAAAAAGATGGATATGTAGGAAGGAATGAACAGAGGTGAGATGGGGAGAAAAGCTAAACTGGCACAAAGCTTCTTAAAGTGAATAGTCATATTACACTGCAGGTTATAAGTTGGGAATTGATGTTGGACTATTGCTTGATATTTGGACTTGACATGCATACTGTAATGTTGATGGCAGCTATAGCTGCTTCCCCCAGCCATGATTTCTTTTTATAGTTCTGATCTCCAAATGAATAGAAAGGCACGATCCTTCTCACATGCACTATTGCCAAGCCAGATCTCCCAAAAGCTGTACCTATGCGTTCAATCTTTTTTCCATCAAAAACTCTTATACTTGTCACTTTTGAAGATCATCCTGTTGGATGTGACTTGGTGTTCAAGCTGTTGAGATCATTTTGAGTTGTGATTTTGCCCTTTAATTACCTTAGCTTACTATCATCTGTGAATAAGCATTCCTTTCATTCCAACTTTTAGATTCCAAATTATTGTAGATCATGTATAAAATGATTGAATAGCAAAGGGCCATCAATAGAGATTTGAAAAAAACTCTAGCTTTTCCATGACAGACTCTGTGAGATCCTTTCCTGATATCAAGATGTACTATATCTACAACATTCCCTTGGTCTACCAAATTAGTCTCTATCTTAAAAAGATATAAGGTCATTATAACACAATTGATGTTATACTTGACATCATGCTTGTTATAATATTGTTTTCTCAGTGATGCTGCTTGATATTTTTTTTAGCATGGTCATTAAGGCTAACTAGTTTCTAGTTTCCTTGGGCCTCTTCCTTTCCCCTTTTTTATACTGGGATTGACTTCACCAGTTCTCTAGGAGTTTTCAACAAAATTAAGGTTAGCTCTTCTTACTGGGTTGCATACAACTTGAAAACAGACCTGGAAACTGGCGCACTCAAAGGTCCCTGGTGGGTTCACATCTTTCTCCAACAGAGTATGGTTCTGCATCTTCATCTCTAATGTTACTGACAAATGGACAAAATTTGAGAGGGAATCTAGAAATATACAAAACTTTTCTGTACTGGGATGATGAATGAATGCTGGGAAGATGATCAAGTAGTGTCTGGAAGAGAAAGAGAAGAGTAAAGCAGTCATTCCTGTTCTATAGTGAATAAGCCACAAAGACACACAAAAATTGCTTTCTAAGGCAAGGATAGTGAGCCAGCAGTTTACAGACCACATCAACATAAGCCTGGGATTGTAGTAGCCTTACATCCATTTTTTGATACAGAAAGGCATTCCCCAACTTGGTGGCTTGGTTCCCATCATTGTCATCTAGAATAGCTACTGACTATGTCAATAAGGATGAGGGAATTGTAGTCAACTTCTGTTACAGAAAATGCTTGTTACCTGCTTCCTATCCAGAAATGAAATCTCTCATAGGCTCCTGCAAGGTGGAATGCTTAGTTATCAAGAACCAATGTCAACTTTTTAAATAGGGACTGATCTGTTTCAAGCTAAATATGTTGGTCATCGCTGCTTTAGAGGCATTAATTATCTCTCCATCACAGGGCAAATTTCTAAAGGATGTTTGTTGACAATAAATATGTTGGTTTAGCAGTATTCCATTTACTGTGTTTCTATGAGGAACCATGACATCAGGCAGACAAACTAAATTCTGGCATATTATAACTGTTAATTGTAATTTGTTTAAGATTGAGTCATTCGAAAGCACAGATCCTTAAAATGCATAGAGACCTTTTCCCTTTGCCGCAAAGCAAGCCAGTTCTAATGAAGAAGCAGCATCAAAGCAACTATCCAAATGGGCTGAGGTGAGGAAGTTGTTTTGCGATATCATGCAATTGCCAAGGAGCAACAAAATCTGTTTCAGAACATAGACCAGAGTCTTGGAGTATGGAGAACAGAATTATGTGGGTGCTGGTCAAGGAGTCTGCAAATAACATTTCAGATAACTGGAACCCTAGCACAGTTGGCCTGGGTTAATCAAATAAAGACATTCTCTGAATATAACTAATATTTTGGGGCATAAAACCTGATTTCTGACACTATTTAGATGTTTAACAATAATATCACCTTGGAAACATGAGACTTCTCAGAGCTCACCTTGTCTGACAGCAGGCAAGGCTAACATGAAAGTCTCTGACCCAAGAAGAGGCAAATGTCTTCATCAGGATCAGAAATGGTTCTGCCCCATTTCTTATATATTCTGTATTTTTTTGAATTTAAACTGTAGAACAGTTGCTGTGATTTAAAGTCAAGAGTGATTTAAAGTTAAGGAAAAAAAAGCTAACGTTTAATATGGTAATACCATCTTCTTGAAATCTACTCTGCATGCTGTAGTCTAGGTGTCTCCATATCAGAAGCCAGATATGAATCTTGCAATGACTTTAGATTGGTCTAGATAACCCATGATAATTTTTGCAAATTTATCCTGTTATTTCCTCCCTGGCTCATTGAGGTTAACTTTCAGCAAAAACCACTTGCTAAAGCTCCCCATAAATGTCCAGGATGCACTAGATTTGGGGCTTTCATTTCTATTCAGCCATTGCTCTGCTACTGGAAGATAAATGTGGAATGTAATTGTAGCTTACTTTCCTCATTATGGTAAAACAACAAATACTGAATTGTACAAGTGTGCCAAGAATTTGTTGATATTCAACTGTCTAAAATGTCACTGTATTTGTCAAAATCCCACTTGATTAAAATGATATTTCTAAAGCAGTCTACAGCTATATCAATTGTGCTTTTCCAAGTGTGCAGGTTCCCCAAATTACAGTAATGGAAGAAGCATGGGGAAAACTTAGAACGACAGCTTGATAATACTTTTATGTTGATGCTCCATAAACAATGAGAAGGAAAAGTAAACCTCTAGTGAGGAAACATTTGAATACTCTGCCAGATGTCCCTCCCTGCATTGATATCCCATTTAAAGTCTTCCCAGCAAAGGTAAAATAAATAAAAATCTTACGGATCTGAAATGGCCGAAGCTGTGAGTATCAGTAGAGTGAGAGCCCTGAGAAAGATGGCTGCACCCATAGCTTGAATGATAAGTGGCAGAGGTTAGATCCACACTCCAAAAACTAAGACTGGTGCAGAGTTTTAAATGTTCTCTGTGCACCTCAGAACTGATCACCTATGATACACATGGACTTAATCATGTTTGGGTCAATGACATTCATATTTACTTTCCTTCAACTCAGTCAACACCAGATGTCCCTGAGGTCCTTCCTCTGAATAACAGTGTTCAGGAAAATAAAGCCCACACTATGGATCTTTGGAAGAAACAGCAGAAATCCTATGTAGTATAGCTAAGGAGAGCTTGTCTCAATAGGCATATTGGCTGGGGAATTCTGGGAGTTGAAGTCCAGACATCTTAAGGTTGCCAAGGTTGAGAAACACTGGTTTACAGTGATCAGAGGGCTCTGGAATAATTGCAGGAAATTTGGGAGGCTTGTGTTGAAGGGATATGTACTCGGTAACATTTTTGTGTTGTTTTTATCACACTTCAAGGGAATTGCCCATGTTTCCCTTTGGGGGAGATCTAAGACAAAATAGCCATATTGGGTTGCAGGAATATTCTTAACAAATAATTTATGAAGCAACGCAGGCTGCACTCTCTGCCTAAGTCCTACTTCCTCTCTATTAATCATATAGACTAGCACCATGTGAGCTCAAGATAGAGAAAAGTTGCTAATGCCCAAGCGAAATAATTTAGATACAGATCCAAGAACGTGGTGTTTTTTTCTATTTGGCTGATTTTATTTTCCTCAAATAAGTCTGCTCTGTTGGTTTATTTGAAGTGCACATTGCTGATACTATATTTTGTAATTTATGTTATTGTTACTGAGTCGGTTCAAAATAAGGAGTATGAGTGAAGTTTAGTCTTACATGGCAATCAGGTTTTATTCATTCAGTTGTTTAATCATTCATGCCTACATTAGTAGGCTGGATAGCTAGTCCAAATGAAGATGACAGGTTTGACAGAACAAGTTGCTGTGCTTGTGTTCTATGAATGCAGATGGAGTCTTCTTCTCTGTTGGGCTGGTTAGGTCACAAATACGGAGGCTGTTGCTGCCATTGTGCTGGCTCTTGGACTTCTGATTGTTTTCCTTTGGTGGACTGTGAATACTAGGAACTTAATGTAAGAGAAATCTTTGTTTTGAGAACACTGTCTCTCAGGAATGAGACATCTATGACATCTGGAACATATTTTATGACCAATTTGCTATCTTCCTCACAACACATCTTTGCCCATTCCTTGTAGCACCAGTTCGTCACAATAATCTGTAACAATATCTGGTTGTTGCCATTCTTTCAGCTCCATTCCTATCTTCATGGACATCTCTTTTTGGCATCAACGATGACCTTTACTTTATTAGTTATAGCTGCTGTTCAGCATCATCTGAGAAAATATTCTTGACTTTGATTCAACCATTCCAGACATTTCCATTCATTCCTTGATTCACACACTAAAGATGGCTGTCTACAGCTCACTATCATAGTTAGCAATATAATAACTATGCTCCTTGTCCTAGGCAACTTAATTCACAACAACTTCCCCATCCATCTGATGCTGAGTATTTGTTTCACAAGGCTTTGCATTTTGCTACAGATTCATCACATTAATTTCTCCTTTGTTGATGTTTAAATGAGGCTTCATGTTATATTATTATATAAAGGATACGTGGATTCCCAAGGCACAGAACTGATTTAAAGTGAACTTTATACTTGGTGAGAAAGCTAGATAAACATGGAAAGAGAATGCTCTATGGGTCAGTGACTTGTTATGCCTTCCTAGATCAAGGTTACTATCAGAATAAAAGATAGCTGCTTTATGGTTTCTTTCAACAGCTGGCAAGATTGCTGTAGTTGCCTCCAGAGCAGTGCCATGAACCCTGGTGGCTGCCTGATGGGGGAGTTTGATCCAAAACTCAGCTTCATATCTCAGAGCAGCTAATGAAAGACTTTCCTGCTTTGAATTCCCTCTGCAGAGTTGAAAACAGATATCCATCCCTGGTTTACTGCATGATGCAAACACAGGGTAGTTATCATTTCTGGATGGGAAGAGCTGAGTTTTGAGCTTGAAAATAGCAAGGCAAACTTTTTGTTGGACCCAGGTGGAGTGCATATCTTAGCTGCGTTAATAGGATTAGATTTAATTTTTAAGGAATTGCATTATGTATCATTTGCCCAAAAGTGTTAAGAAGCATCATTTAAATTAAGACATCTTTTGACAGTTAAATATGGGCTATCAGCCTTAAGTTTTTCAAAAACCCCTCTAGTATTACATTGTTTTGCAAAATAATATGCTATTAAATGGTTATATTAACCATTCATAGACAATTAACCATTATTAGAAGGTAAAAAATTAGATGTTTTAAGAGAATAAAGAAGCGCAGAATTAGGAATTAGAGTATTCAGGAGAAGACCATTTTGGCATCTATAAGTCAAATTTCTATAGATTTAAAATTATGATTAAGTCAACAAAAATATTTTTGTGTATATCTGTCAAGTCCATGATGTCCAAATCT